GAGAGGGGAGAGGGGAGAGGGGAGAGGAAAGGCAAGACTCAGGGGGACCTCATTGCAGTATTCCAGTACTAAAAGGCAATCTACAAAGGGTGCAGTAGCTCTCTCCTCGCAAGGAGCCACATGGAGAATAAAAGGGGCAACAGGTGCTAGATAACCTAATCTAAGATGCCATTCCCACGAAAGACTGGACCAGAAGACCTTTCAAGGTGCATTCCAACCTGGACTGTTCTGTGATTCTATGACTCTGAATTTGAAAAGCTGAGAGTAATACATGAAGAAACCAAGTGCCACGTCTGAGACTTCTGCTAACTATGGCAAATACACACAGAAACAAGTAGTATTCCTGCAGAGACTTAATTTTTAGCTTCAAATCTCATTCATAGGCCTGTATCATATTGTTCTGTTCATCGATCACTCTGTAATAGTTTAAACTCAATGAGCAGTTTTGACTAGTTCGGAAGGAGGATGAGATGTATCCAAAATAATAACATTGCTATGAGTTTGTTGAAAAACAGCTAAGTAGCCACTGCATGTACTAGAAAACAGGTTATATTTTATTGAAAAGAATTGTCAGTCCAATTTTATTTTATGGGACCACTGTAACAGGTTATCCATGTACCCAGTCAGTACACATCACCCCAGGCAAACCACTGCACAGGCCAGCTCTAACTCTGGGATGGGACTGAACAGGAAATAAAAAGCAAGTGAGTAGGTAATATTGTAGTAGGGTGTATTAGCTATCCAGAATGGATGGAGTTTAGTAACACAAAAGATTTCACAGCCAGACATTGTAAGAAGCAAGGGAAGACCTGATATTGCTGCAGTAGGGCATTAAGAGATACAAGGTGTAGAATGTAAATCCAGAGGATGTTGGGATTTATTAACGTTATGGCTCACTAAGCAGCTTGTTTTCACATAAAAAGAACCACACCCTTACCCATGAAATAATGTCTTTGGAATTAATTTCCTGTCAAGATTTTTCAATTCAGATTAAACAAGTTCTACTTTGATCCCTGTGCTAACATGACTCATGTCACATTTCACAGAGTAAATGAAAATACTACCCATATATCTTATTTTGCAACAATATTCTAAATACCAACCTGAAATCAGCTTGTGAAGATGGCAAGACAAACTCAATGTCTTTCGGGACAGCAGCTATTGAGGACTGCTGTTTAACTTCCTGCCAGCACCCCACAGCAATAGTCAAGGTCGATGCTGGCATTGGCATAGTCACATAGTAGTACCAGCTAAAGACACCTGTAAATAAAAAGAACATTTGTACAGACTCATCAGTCATAGCACACATTCAGTACTTGATATTTTTATGTACTTGAGATTCTAGGCCAAACCTCCCACCTTATATCCCGGTATTTTTGTTGAGAAAAGAAAAGTAATTTCACTGAGACATGAAAGAGCAGTCACATGTAACTACCATGGATTCAACAGTTTACTTACACCTGCAACTTTCCTCTATCTGCTGAGGTCTTTATCTATAAATAAATCATCCGAAAGTGGGATGTTATTAATGCAATCTAACACGATTGTACTGTTACTGTCCAAGAATTGCATAAGACATGAAATCTAATAGCATCTTTAGATTGACACACAGAAAAAGAATAAAATTTAACTCTTTCAACTCTGCATCAACCACCTTGTTGTTTTGTCTTAACTATATTATCTCACACAGAACAAAATCTTTTCTTCATGTTCTGGACAGTACCAAACTGACAGGCAATTTCTAACAAACAACACTAGTGCTTTTGTATTAGACCTGGCAATCTGAGATACATGATGTGTGAACCAGGCAGTGAGAAATTAAATCTTAGAGAGAATCTAGCATGAATAACAACCTGCTGCATCATGTGCAAATAACTGTAGCTGCGGCAACTGTGGAAACATACAAACTTTGGTTATTTTGAAAGAACATGAATACTTGTTCTTTTGCAATAGTATTATGACCAGGGCTAAGGAACACTATCAAAAGGGGAAAAAAAGGAAAAAAAAAAAACCAACCCAGTGGAGGCCACAAGGCACAGAAAAAAGGAAATAAGCAACTGCAGCACAGCATCTCTGGGTTTTCTACCTCAATGACCACAGACAGCCAAGCTGCCTAAAGGAAGGATAAGCTAAAAAAATATTTTTGCTTAGTCTCAACAAATCCTCCAGCTACTATGTATTATGGCAAAACAATGCAGTTTGTTAAGTCTTGTAAGAAGCAAATAAAGCCTCTGCCTCTTCTATGCGCTAGCAACCACTTACATTCCCTCACTCCATTCTGCTTTTGGCAACATTCACCACTACTATCAGAACCCTTTTGTCTGTATTGTCAGGTGAACTTGTACTACTCCTGTAATTTTCCTAACCTTCCGTCAGTATGTGAGCAGAAGGAACTTATTTTCTCCAAACACATAAAGAACAAAGGGGATAACTGTTTTGCCAAATTCTGCTCTCCCTTTTCTTTTTTATTGATTTATCAAAGCTGCAAATGAGCTAAGGCAAGGAAATGCCACCTTGAGAGAAAGAGGTCACCTAAGACAGCAACAATTTATTATTCTGAAATACCAAACTCCTGATGTAGAGAGCTTCATTGATATAAACTGTGTTAGAGGCCCAAGCCTGCACATGCTGAAGTTAATAGCAGCTTGACATAAAAGTGTACAAGAGAAGGTCCAGAGGTAGTCTATAATACTTCACTTTGTGTAGCATCTGTTATATACAAATCATTACAAAATGCTCCTTGCAGTTACATTAATTATAAAACCTTAAATAATAGCAGAGAAAGAGTGAAAATTTGAGAAACTGTAATGGAAAAGCAGTTATGTGTTTTTCCCTGAGTTCTGAAATAAGCATGAAACTCCAAAGGCAGACACAGAAAACTGTTCCAGGCAACAGGAGGTATAAAGGAGAAGGCTCTCACAACAGTGAGATTATCCAAAAAAAGAGGGTGTTGGCCTGTGCTATGCAAACAGAGGGAGCAGAGAGGGTTATAGTGAGAGACAAGTTTAGCAAGACAGGCTAGAGCAAGCAAGACCATAGTGGTTTTTATTAAAAAACAAGGATAATTTGAACAGAATGTCAAAATGAATGGAGAATCGGTTTAGCAGTCCAGAGAGAACAGCATGTACTGCATTCAGTAATTTACATGAATTAGCAATGAACATATGCTATTCAGAGCTGTAACAAACCTTGCAAAAGTGTAAAGGTACCAAAGACAAAGAAAGTAAATTTTCCTTGGTATGTGTTTTCAGATTTATCTAAAGTAGGATTTCCTGAAGAAAAGAAAAGCAACTAACATACAGATCCTTGTCTTTTTTCCAAGCCTCTTATATTTTGCAGTCATTACAGAGACCATGCGAACTCTCAATAATCCCAGGACAATATCCAAGATTTATACCGTCTTTACACACCTAACTGGGGTTCAATCTATGTCCTTTAGGGCTTTTAGATGCTTTCTGTATTCATACTCTAGAACTGTGTAGGATAACTATATATTTATTCTACAGTTGTTTTGCCTTGAACAACTGCAATCACACACACTGGCATGATGAATGAGCTCCCTCTATAGTCCATTCACTGATTGGTGACCAAAATGGTCTTTATGTTGGCTACACTTCTCTACAGTAAGCACTGTTTCAAACTGTTTCAGTGCTTTTTCAAAGAGTCCAGTTCTCATTTACCTTCTGTCTTCTCCTCTCACTACTGATAAGACTGTTTCACAGCCTACCCTTCTCTCCCATAACTTCACTGCCTTTCTTTAACTTTCTTCAAGTCGGTGAGCTTTGTTTTGTTTTGGTTCACCTGCAACCTCAGACGTATCCCAGGGCATAAACTGGGATGACAAGGTCCGCTCTGCTCCCTTCTTCCCCTTCCCCTGGCTGACCTCTGCTTTCCAGTGGCTACCTTGGAGACAGCACCACCTCTAGGGTGAGAGGAAACAGTGCAGCTCAGATGGGGAGGCGGCTTTCTTCATCAAAACCAGCATTTTGTGACACAATAACATCTGCAGATTTAGCAGACACTTTGAGAAAAGAAAGAGATTAGGCTGGGGTTAGTCTGAGGGAAAAATAGATAAAAGGCACTCCAGCCCTTTTATTTGTAATCTCCTTGCAACCAGATAATTTAAAAGCAACTGGATTCCTACATAGGATTACTTTAGGCAATTATAGTACTTCCAAAATATTTTCTCAACAGGTAATTTTGGAAATAACTTAGATTTATTTTTTCAGTTCTACAAAGCAAATCTATTATAACATAGCTGCACAAACCATGCAAAAACAACCACCTATTCTATGAGAAATAACTGGAAAATATCCGATACAAAATTTAGGACTACATTTAACAAGTGTGGGAAATTATAATCTATTTATAATTGTGCAAAAGAACAATTTAAAGACCATTTATTTCTACTACTTGAAATAATTATGATGAATGATGTAATTACTTCCTATAGTTTTTAATGCACTTAGCTATCTTTGAAACCATTAAAATTGTTTGAGTACCTTGGAGTCCATTATAACTGAAGAAACACCTAAGACTCAGTATCTCTTAATGCCAATGCAAGAACATCAAGAGTATTTTTACTTAGTATATTTCTCTCAAATCGTTTGCACTAACACAAATATAAGCACCACAAAATACAGATGATGTTCATGCTTTACTAAAAAACACAAAACTTGGCTACTTCTAGGGAAAAAAGAGATAGCCCCACACAGCATTTGATATACAAAGTAAGAGCTAGTACTAATACATAAAACTATAGCTAAATTAGTGAATAAACCAAGACTACTACTTGGCTGGAACATCAGGATTAAGAACCCTCCAGCTTTCTGAAACCCTTTGTAGCTTGTGGAGATCTTTGATCTCATCTGAAAGCCAGAATGTCCCACAGAGCCCCTGGGCATTCACGCCAGAGCTTTAGTTCAAGGTTGGCTCAGATGGATGAGCAGCATGCAATGGGCTGTCAACTCCCGTGCTGTAGCCCCTGATAAGTGTTGGAGATCAAACAACACAAACGCCGGGCTCTTTTGTCTTGTGAAAAGTGAAAGGAGTACAAAAAAAAGCAACTGTTGTTGCTGCTAGCTACAGAGCAGTAGCAGTGGCTTCTCTAGTGCTATATTTCTTCTCAACACCAGCAATTTCTTGTTCAAATCAGAGATGGCAAAACAAGATTAAGGACTTCATAATGATAGAGTAACCACACAAAAAGCAAGCCAGTTGATTTCACACTTAATGGTTGAATATGTACTTCTTGAACACGAATCAAAACAAATGTAAATGTGTTTGTGACTAAAGATATTTGCACCTTTTATGTGTTACAGTAATATGCTGAAGGAAAGTGAAACTGACAAGTGTTGAAAAATAAATCCATGGTTAAATAGCTCAGATTACACACACAAACCCCTAGTCCTCCCTGTAAAGCTTTCTCCCAAAGGGCATTGTCAATTGCATTTTTCCGATAAATTTTTGTTCTCTCGGTACTCTAGAAAGAATGCATGGTATCTTTAACCACTTTTATGCCATACTTGAACAGTTACCATATGTACTTGAGTGAGTGACGTATCAGTATTTTCAAACAAATGTGGCTTCATTTTATTTCAGATGACAGCATGAGCCATTGTTTTTTAGGAAGCAAAATGCAAAGATAGCACATATGGGAGGAAGTACACTACTACTAAAACCTGTAAATACAAGTGGCAAATGAGGAATCTGCATACACGTACACTTAGTTTAGGTATACACTGCATCACAGCACTTGTGCATCTAGACATGTAGGTCTGTGAAGTAGAATGCAGTCTGAAAGCATGAAGGTATCATCCTTGCTTGGTGTTCTCTTATTGTCTTCCTGCACACTTGTTATAAATATGCTTTTTAAAGGAAAAAATATGCATCTATCTTGTAATTCTTTTCAGAATAAATTAGTTCATAACTGCTTGCCAAAATGTTTATTCTTTCCAAGAAACTGCATGCTAAAAATAGTTTTTTGTGTTCGATCAGTTATGTATGATTTTATAAATATACATCACAGTAATAGCATACAGTATGTAAATAATTTGGCAAAGAAAATTTATTTTAATTGAAGCCAACCTGAAAGGCTTTTAGGTGTGTTTTATAAATGTGAAGACAAAACTTTAAGTTGGATAGATTTCATATGTCCTGCATAATTGCCTAACAACAAGATCTGTGTGGAACAGGTTATTTAACACTACAGACCATTCTGAAGTTTTTAACTCCTAGAAGTCCTGCTAATGAAACTAATGAATTTGTATTCCTAAATTCATTAAGAATTTATTCAAGGCTTCAGATTAGCACTTGATCCTTGGGTGAGTTTGTTTTTTCAAACAGTCCTCACAGTATTGCTCCTTTCCCTTCTTTCCTCTGTATCAGTTTTTTAAACTTCTACAATTCCAAACAGCTCTCTAACACTGATTTGTCATTTCCAATGGACAAATTCAGCAAGATAACGAGGGTCTCATCCATGATTGAGTCTTTGAGAGCTACTGGAGCACAATGCCTACTACACTTAAAGAAACCCATCAACCCTTGCCTCATGACAGCAAAGTTAGCATAAGTAATTATTTGTACCACACAAGCGTGTAAGCAGAACCTTCCACACTCTTGGGAATTCAATCTTGAGGACAGGCAGAAGGAAAACTGTGAGGACAGAAGCACAGTAGGTGCTCCTGTGGCTTCTCTTTAGTTCAGCAAAGTTCAGCACAAAACTTGGCCACTGTCACATGGTTCCTAAAGGAACCAGCATTAATGCTACATTTGGCTCTTCCCAGTTCACTTCACACTTTTCACTTAGCACTTCATTAGCACAGTGAAGCTAAAATGAGTCATTTCCTCCCTGTTGGCCTTTCCATTAAAGACTTCTTATGGTATTTCTTACTTTCACGAAGTTCTTAGGAAAGGAAATATACTAGGTTAGCCTTTGGAAAATCTTAAAAAAAACCAAAGCCAAAACAAACAAAGCTTTAAACTGACACATGAATTGCCAACATAGACTAACCCACTGCAACAAATACAAGGATTTAAACAAAAGCCCCTTCTTTCTCAATAGAGTGACAACACTGATTTTGGGTAACTAAGCCCTGGTGCTATCATTAACAATATCATACCCTGGTATCATTCTCAACACTCCATCAACAGCACTTTAAAGATGGTTTTACCCACAATTAGTTGGTTTTTAGTTTATTTAAGTATATTAATGGGTTTTTAAACCAGAATGACAAAATAATGTTAATGAGGAAATAATTATTTCATAATACAGCCTTTTCAATTAGCTAATTGGTCTAAAGTAGTATAAATTTTAATTGACCTATGCCAACTTACATTGCCTGAAATTTTTGCTAGTATTGCTATTTCTAGAATTTCACATAAGCATCCTTCTTCCTCTTAACATGTCAGACCACATAGCCACCATTGAGGGACAGATAGGCAACAACTCATTAGCAAGGCGTAAATGTGGATTAAACTAATTAAACAATGATGGCAGAGCTGTTCTCCTAATCTGAAGTCAAGAGCACTCTTGCCTTCTTGATGCCAAGACAGGAGAGTATTACTGTCCAAGAAAGCTGAGCAGCTCATCGTGGCAGTTTTCCATGTTTCGGCAGCAGAGACAGGGCTTGAAACAGGCTTCACATATGGCCAAAAATAACCAGACAATTCCATGAAAATGGATTAACTGATGGTTCTCAAATTAAGGAGACATTAATTCTTTTTAAGTTTTTTTTTCCCTCAAGAATAAAATTGTCCCTTTAAAGGGAAACAGAAGTTTGGGGTTTTTGTCCCAGAAACACCCAATTTTAACCTTTCCTTATATGCTACTTTTCATCAGAACTACTTACACTAGAAAATACTGACCTTGCTGGACAGATTGTCTCAATGCTTGCTTGTTTACTGTTGCACAAGGTATGACCTACCAATGCCAAAAAAAACTCCGAAGACCAGATTTTCAGGGCACTGACCTGATATTCTTCATCTATTCCATATGTATCAGGAAACGGATATGACATGACAGCTTCTAATCATTGGCATGCTGGCATATGGACTGGAGAGCTAAAGCTGAAAGTTAATTATCTAACAACGCCTGAGGTTGTCAAGAGCCTGATGAGGTACCTCATCTGCGAAATTTTCAACTGCAGAGTGATTAAAACAAAGCGAATTTATGACAAGTGAAGTCCAGATTTGGAAAATGTAAAAAGAATTAAAACACAGAAAAAAAGTAAGTAGAAGTAACACAGTAAAATGTAGATGCCTTGAATTCTTACTAAGTTATCCTTAGGCCTTGAGCAGGTAACTTTTGTACAGAATGACACAGAGACTACAGATAGACATGTACGTGCTTTTAAGGTTAGGAACTTCATTTTTTCAATAATCATGTATATGCTAAGCTATATTTCTCATCATAAAATTATTGAAAGTAATTTCCTATAGAGAATATATCTTACCTTCTTGAAGCTCAACTGGTTCTGCTGATTTTTCACCACTCATTAACACAATGAAGCCTGCAGCTGTTCGGACTGAGGCTTGCCATGTTGACAAGGCAGCAGCTGGTTCTTGGCATGGGAAAAGGGCTCTGTTGTTTATTGGTGTTCCCATCGTATAAACACATGGACTAGATGAAAAGAAAAGAGATTGAAGTTGGAGTTACAATAAGAAAGATTTAATTAAGTTTTCTGACAAAAATCAAGCCTACTGTTGCACTAAGGTTTTGTTTTTAACCTCAGCTGTGTAGGTTTCAAACCTGTATGACAGGAACCAATCAAAGTATAATCTAAGTCATTTAAGGCAGGATGAAGAAATGCAAGATTACCACAAAAATTTTTACAAAAACTAGAAAAGAGTAACTTTCCTCCTCTCCTGCTTCTGCATGAGCCTTCCAGCCTGATACAATAGCTCTCAGCTGGACTCATAAGGCCAAAAAAGGCATCCAAATATCCTCCTAAGATGCCACTGCAAGGTTTCACCAGTACCTGCAACAACTCCCTATTAAAACACCTCCCTGTTAAAAGTCCAATTGTAATAATTGATACAGTCTATTTAATTATAGATTTTGCAGAGACAAAATGTGTGTATATGCGTATATATGTCCACATAATCTCACACGCATTCACTATTCCACTATTTACAAACCTTTTTTGTACTTCCACATAAAGGCCCCAAAAAGATGTTATCACAAAAAGCATGTTATGAGGCTAAATAAAACCTTCCTTTTTGATCATTAATGTATTTTCTAGTATCAAAAGCCTAAAGAGGGAAATGTTGAAATTCCACATGTTAAGTTCCTCTACTGAAAACAGATGTGAGCCCTGCTATGCTAACTTCAGGTTTGCATACACGTATCTCAACTTGCTTAAACTCATCCCACAAAGCCTTTTTTTAACCATTTTTTTTGCATATTACAATACATCATTGTTTAGAACAGATAAAATGGAAGTCTTTATAAAATAGTGCATAGGTTAAATTTCAAAACATTGTACTAGTGTTAAATTAGAGGAAACATATTGGAAGTGGCCACACAATGCTTGTACTTTGTTATTCACTTCACTTTTCTTTGGGATTAGAACGATATATTATAGATGCCTCTGGGAAAGGATTTGACATCTGCCTAAAACGGCACCATACATGTAATTTGGAACAATTTAAAGAATTTGTCTATGAGAACATAATGTAATAGTACTTCCCTCATGGATTATAAATGGGCTTTATTTTTTAAAAGGGAAGGAAGAATATGACAGCATTTTGTACAACAAGCATTACCACCATATTTATGGGTTAATCACATACAGAATTCAATTCTTAAAATGTAGGAAGAAAAATTCTAATGATTATGATATGAAAACTTATTTTCTGACAGGCATTAATTTCAGCAATACCCTACAAAAGACTGAAAATAAACCTGCTTGAGACTATTGGCTATCATCAGACTGCCTAACCCACATCAAGCCATCTTCCTGCTTCATTAAAGATTCATAAAATACCATGTGTTTGTGTACAACTGCCATGAAATGTCTCTAAATTAAGAATAATGTTTTGCAATGAAAGGGAAAAATATTTAAAATTAGAAGATGTATAGTGATTTAGATGCTTAAAAGAAACCTTAAAATGTTCAAAACACTGACAACACACAGAGGAGGAGTCCTGTACTAGATGAGCGTTGCCAACATTAGTCTCAAAGACTGTAATAAGGGGCACAGGTAGACATAGACACACTGTGTGAACTCAGACAATTGCTCTAACTTTGCATGCAGTCAAAATTTCATATTTTCAAAACTAAAGATACTATATTGAGTAAAATTTCCTAAACTCATACCAAAAATAACTCCTTGGGGAGTGACGAAGGGAGGGAAAAAGGGAAGAGGTAATGAACCTGACTAAGCCATTCCCAGACTTGATGTGGCTCCTGATTTAGCAGTAGAATTACCTAACTACGAGACATACAATTAAAAGGCCTCATTTTCTTCCACGATGTGCATGCCAGTGAGAAGAATCTTAATTTCTACTAGCATAACTGAAATGAACGGTAACCATATATCTCTAGTTTGGGAATGAAAAGCAAGTGTTCAGTTAGACCAAATTTCTCCCTCATCTTCCAACTTTGTTCCTGTTTTTTAGGTACTGCAAAGAACTTACAGCCATTATAATCCATCTTTAAACATTATAGCAAAACAATTACAGTTGTAGAAGTCAAGAGTGGATCGTAGTTTCCCTCCTATAATGAGCTTATCTTGAAGATTTCTGTACAGCCCTGTTTACTTTCACAAACACTAGGGTAAAATGCCAATTCTTCTTGTAGTTTCAGTTTGCAGTTCATTTGCTATCATCAAGGTGCTCTACATAATAGATAAAGGAGATTTTGAAAGTTGATTGTGAGAGACTAAACAGGAAAAGACTGCATATCTAAACTTATTACAATATTGATAAATAGTTGTGAAACAATTCTATTAAATATAATGTATAATGATCTTTATGCTGTATGTGTAAGCTAGGAAGGAAAAAGAAAACAAAGTACTAAAGTGAAAATAATCTGTCATGCATATCTACTCTTCACCTAAGTGATAATTCGCAATTCCCTGCACATACTTATTCCTCTACAGAACAATTATTTTCTCCCAATCAGAATAAGCAAATGCAATCACTGAGACAGGCCTGAGGTCTGCAAGTTTCACTGGCGTTTCTTGAGCACAGAGTTTCTCTGTTCTCTTACAGGACAGAAATAGGAGTCAAACCAAGGATTAAATGAAAACAATGGAAGAGAATGCTTATAATTTTCACAATTGCTCAGCATTACATGTATTCTACATTATTGTACCTGCATTTAAAAGTAATGTGCACAAAGCTTTCAGCTAGCAGTTACATACCTGCCACTTTGGTCTGTAGTCCACGTAACAGATCTTCCCTCCGGTTTGGTTGTGTACCATATTCTGATTGCGTGAGGAAAGTCTACTGGAGTCTGAATTCCCGATTTTCTTATCTCCAAGCTCCAAGTGCCAGTAGTAAACAGAAGGTCTCCACAGGCAGGTGCCTGGCTGCAGCGAGAAAAATAGGATAGCTGTTCCTTCCAGCGATCTGCAGGTAAAGTCACAAGTTCATGTACAATCTCATTCCTGAGATTTTCCAGCTCGTTTGAAACATCACTTAGCTTGGCAGACTTTGTGAATTTTTCAATGCCTGACACAGCAGCAACATCTATCTCCTCAACCTTTAGCACGAATAAATCACAGCAATCCAATACCAGCAGAAAATCCTTGTTCCCATGATTCTCTATGTCACAGCAGTCCTTTGAACTAGAAATCCCAGAAGCCTGTTCCTTGTTGCCGTGGTTACCATTTTTATCAGAAGTATCTTCTTTACCTTTAACACTGACAGCAAAATCATTATACTCCATTTCAGATGAACAGGCACTCTCACTTGACACAGGAATGTGGCAGGCTTCAGATGCGCTCATTTCACACGTTTCATCAAGCTGTGGCTGGCAGCCTTCTTTGCCAGTACCACTGGTCTTCTTGTACCGGCTCCCAGGCTCTAAGAACAAAACTATGCTGCCTTCAATAACTTCACCTTTAAAATCCACATCCAAGTCCAATACGTAGTGCTTTACAAGCATGTAGCTAGTGTTGGCCATTAAGGGCAGGTCATCATTCTTGGAGTCTGGCTGTGCCTCCATGTTCATCTATTGGGCAACAGTTCTAGAAAGCCTTAGACACTTTTTACACGCGATGTCTCTGTAAAAAGCAAGGATACTCAGCCGCCCTGTGACAAAAATAAGTGCTCCTCCACTTCTCAAATACTAAAAAAGAAAAACAAAACAAAAACCAGACAATAATTTCCCAACCATTTCTGAAATGCATTAAATCTAAAAGTTATTTATAGTACAGTTGCCTTTATTAAAAATAGTACAGCCAAAGGATGATTGTGTCTCCACAGAATGGCATCAAGCTAGTTGCTTCAAGATTTGTTGTGAAGAACCACTGGCTTCATTTTTCAGAGTTCTCAAGTGAAAGTATTTCTAGACAGCTTTTATGAACTGAAAGAAAGAAACTTTACTACAGGCCTCCTGTTGACTCTCTTCCACCACAGTAACCCTTTAGAAAAGATACATGGTTATGCGACATATAATTTGATTTATTACTGCAGTTTGTTTTTAAAGTTAATGTATTTATTACAAATGCATTATCTCAAAAGACAGTAATCATATTTCTACTGTGATTCTAAGTAACAAGAGCAAACCTAAGTCACCTCACATGTCTTAAAGTTTTAAAGTAATAATTTCATATATGCAATGAATCTCCATGGATTAATACACTTTCCACACTAGAACTGCTCTCATATCAGCACTTCTAGTAAATTACAAGAAAATGAGCCAAGCTACTGCAAGTGTATTCCAAGTATTCATTTGAGATTGCTCATAAAGATCGTTCAAATTTACAGTTAAATACTTCAGGTGTATGATTACATCTTAATAGCTGGAAACCAATTAATGCTCAGAATAACAGCATCTTACAGAAAACAAAAGGTCTTCTCACTGGAAAATATGCAAATACCTATAAAAGCAAGAAAGTATTAAAATGCATCAATATCTATGCAACAACAGGCAGAAGTTCATCACAAAAGTTTAACTGTCATGCATTCTCTGTTTTGCTGTGACCACTGGACTAAAGTTACACACTTTTAACTCACTTAAATCCTTTTTGTCTGCTTTCTAGACTAGAAATAAAAATCAGAGAAAGAAGAAACTGTTAAGATGCACAGTTCTCTCCCTGCCGGTTCAGTGACACTTTTCACAATAGGCAGCCAATCCTGTTTTTAAGTGCCTGAAGTGAAGAGATACTCACCGCTTTGTGGCACTGTTTCACAGTCTAATCACAGACTTCAGTGTCCACAGTCAGTCTTGGTGGAGTTCTCCAAGCCAGCACAGAGAACCCAGACTCCCACACAACTTGTTATTTCTTTTGCAGGAATGGAGGGCATGCTATCAAGCTAGCATCAGTGAGTGAAAGACTCAGGTCAAGAAATTATCTGTGCTGTTCCAGGAACTAGCTTCAAACTAAGCACACAAATCATAGCAAATACCTCCCTTCCTTGATGGCTTTCTAGCAGTCAAAACCAGCTCTTACAGGGATGTCCTTGAAGACAAGCTAAGAAAAAAAAAAAAAAAATCTTTCTTTCACTGCTGTATCAATCCCCCTGCACTTTTGCAAATACACCAGGGCACCAAGCTCACTTCAGAAGGCCTTCTTTCACTGGAACATCCCAGTAAATTCAGAATAATTTGAAGGTTTGCCTGCAAATCTGCCTTCAAGAGACACTCATCGTATCTTTTGAAGTGCTTCCAGTACATACTTCTCTATTCTCTGTTTGAAAGTTTTCACAAACTTTTTATCCAAATTTAATCTTCTTGTTCATCGTAACAGTTTGCCATTTTTAGTGCTTTCAATCTTTACATATTTGCAAGAAAACCCCTTGCATCTTGCACTGCCTTAGCTGATGCATACATCTGTGTACTTTCAGAATTCAACCTTGTATCAGGATCTAAAAACAGATTCATGGGCTCCTGCAGAGTCCCAGTGATTTCAGTGTGGCTTTCCAAAGGGTTTACTTATCTTTGCAGAGATATGTGCAATATCTGTGTTTTGCCAGTTTGTCTTAAAAAAACAAAATCAAACCCAAACAAACAAACAAAAACCCAAACAAAAAAACCCCCAACACTAACAACAAAAAAAGCCAGAGGAAGTTGAAGAATTAAATACCCTGAAATGCATTTTGGGCCCTAGTATCATCAGAGTGACTGTTTTCTACTTAATTTAAGGAAGTCCAGAAAATAGTACAGCAGTAGAACTAAAGCATTTAGGAAGACCAGTAAGAAAGGCTGAGAGAAGATTTGGCAGACCTCAGCTTGGTGACCGAGCAGTGTCTATAAATAAGCATATGGCCATTATAATAATGTCCTTGTCTTGATACCTGACTGGGAATACCAGCAGAGCAACCAAAGGTTCTAAATGTTGTGACATGACCAATGCATTTACCATGTCTGTGCATAACACTGTGGACTGAACTCGATGTTTTCTGGATTTTTTCTAACACTGAACTGGCATTCAAGAATCCCTGTTTTGCACAAATACTTAGATTTTCTCATCTGAAAACCAAGTATAATAAATTACTGATACATTTTATAGAATGTGAGTACTACACTAACAACCAATATTTGTGCTATACTACTACTAAGTTTTTATATCCTTGTTTTTCTGTTTTCTATGTGGAAGATGTGATCAATTTGTTCTCTCAAATGTATAAAGATAATTACACTGACTTAAATTAAATGAATAGCTACCATGGCAAGACCTACCTCTGAATACCATAAAATAAATAGTAAAGCTGCAGTTCAATGCTTACAAAAGCAGATTTATTTTGTGTTTAGAGGACTGTCAGATTAATTTAACATTAACAGGGCAGAATAAAAGGTCACAAATAGTGCCATACAAGTAAACTCAACCCAAATTAAAATAAACCAATACCACAATTAATTGAAGCATTATAAAAAAATAAACTCCATAAATATAAATCTTTTTTAAAACTATTTATCCCAAAACATGAAATCCATGAAATTTGAGAAACAATTGAAAACAAAGGCCAATGAGTCTAAAAGATATGCAGAGTAGACATTCATTTTCTACAGTTGAAAGTTTCAGATTAGCACTTCTGTTTAGTGGAGATTTCACATCTGATCATGTTTACAGACAAGGAACACACTTGCAGACAAGCAACAACTAATACTGCATACACTCTGACACTGAATTTTAATTCAGATGTAACACTCTCAATCTCAAATCACCTTAGCTTCAGATACCTCACCTTTAAAAAATTGTAGGTAGCCTCTCTATCTCCAAGCACTAGTATGTGAATTTAAATGGCTGTTTTCAGGTATATCAGCTTCTGAATCTCTGAGGAATATTTTAATGAAATGTTTTCAAGGAGTCTACAGAACATTAGAACTGTGCAACAAAGAAGCTGAGATGGTATTCTATTATGATGGTGTTGGGGACTCACTCATATTAATATCTTTGTATTTTTGTACTGTATTTTGATAATTTCATATTGATATTGAATTAGCAGAAAGTTCTGTCTTCTGTGCAAAGCCTACTTGTGTTATTAATTATAATTTTACTTCTCCACTAAAGCCTCACACTGGAAGTTGCATCCTATGAAGTGATGTGGTGTTTCAAGTAATTTAAGACAGTCACATTTAGAGCTCTCATAAGTGGGAAAGAAACTGAATTTACCAACTACAGTTCTAAGACAGGATAATCGTGTCTGCTTTTAATTTAACGGTTAATTTTGTAATAATTACACCAGTGTTAGCTTTTTAGAAGTAGGAGTTCCATTATGAAGCTTTTTAGAAGTAGGAGTTCCATTATGAAGCTACAGCAAACTCCACCAATCATGGAGTTGCTAAATATAAAGACTTCAGATGGTATAATCTGCAACAATAGATGGAAAACTATATTAAAGAGAACATTGAAGAAGTCCAGGGAAATATATCACCATGAACTTACTTGTCAGTCTTGGGACACACATTCTCAGTATGAATTTCTGTCTACATGATATTAATTTAAGTTCTGATACTTCATAGCGTACCTGCTTCTAGCTAAACCAAAAATATGTGCTTACAGCTTCAACACTGTTCTTTCAATATCCAAGTGCAAATATACATATTCTGAATTCAGAGGAGGAAAAAATGTACACAAAACAAAAAGCCCGCCTTTTTTTTTTTTTAACAGAATTTCTATACCATCTGGTCTACGTCTGGAGCCTCCGAAGAGTTACTGCTCACTAAATAACATGCCAAAAATCCACCATTAACAGAATAGAAATTATAAACAAATTTCTTCCTTTGCTTGTTGTCTATTGTTTTTGGTCACACACAGAAGCAATGTTTGGTTTAGGCAGTGTTATGCTACTGTACAGTTGTACAGATTAAGAAATATCAGATACTTACTATAAAACAAAAAACTATCTAAAAAAATCAATTTTAGAGCTTAGCTTAAAACTATTTTTGTTCATATCTGTGTAATTTCAATTCCAGTAACTTAGACATATCTATTTCTACAATATAAATAAGTGACCAAAAGTAAATGCTAAAGAGCAGTAGAAGAAACCTGAAGTCCAACCTTGGAACTCTAAATAAGCATCAGAGATTATGCATATGGTATTAACTGCCTCTTAATTCTGCTGAAGAAACTGTTCACTAACATTCTTGCACTGCACAGTTCTTAACTTAGTGAGGAACTCGTCCACAAAAGTTTTGCTAAAGCACAATTCAGCATCTTTCTGCCAGCAGTAACAGTCCATACATTGCATATAGAAAAACACCGTATTTAAGACAAACTAGAAAACAGCTGCTATTAGTGTAATTGCTTTGACCATTTATTACATAAGCCCTTTCCTTGATTTTCCATCTCCACCGTATGCTACTGTGCCCTAGGTGCAGGAACTGTACATTCATTGCTGCCATGATAACCTTATCACCATGATAACAAGAAACTTTCAGAAATGCAAAAACTGACTGGGAATATGTGTGTGGAACTGCAGAGACAAGGCCCCTTAGTGAGAAGTATATAATACTTCATTAGTAAGGCTTGTTAACAGAACAATTTGTTCTTTTACCTG